TCCTGTTACAAAAGTTAAATCCCATACATTTGTAGATATGGTTGCTTTGACAGAAGGTGAAAAATATTAATTTTGCTAGAAATTAGGGTGCGCAAACTACCATGCAGCCAAATGGGCAGAGCTTTAAGTTTCAGAAAAGTTGCTCTTCTTTACCTAACAACATGTATGTAGTAATATGTTTCGAACAACACTGCGTTGTTGGCTTGTAGTTATGTTCAAGTCAATGCACAAGCAAGTAAATGAAGCTGTCACAAAAAGATATCATCATCATTGCCTATGCAGTCACTTTACTGTTATGTTGACTTTGTGTTTGTCAAAACTGAGCAGTTGTGTATTAATTAAAGTGCATCTTTCTTATCCATAACAGATGACAGTGATGAATCAAGAAAAACTATTTACATTGATAAACCGTTGGCAAAGAAACAGATGTCACTTCAACAGAAAAATTTACTGTATCATCAGATCTCATTACCCAGATTATTCAGACCAAAGATGAGCCAGAAATCATTGCCCCTTGAAGTGGTTGTGTGTCCTAATGAAGGAAGTCATCATGTCCAGTCTACCCTGTCAAATGAACAGAGTCTGGTCAGGGAACAGGTGACACACCTCATGAAAGATTCTGATGTTGACAGTCACAAGGATGCTTGCTTGCTTGCTAACCAAAATGAGCAGAACATGGTAAGAGAGGAATTGTCTTCTTCTGTAGAACAAGCATCCATGGCTAGAACAAGCAAGGCTTATAAGCACACTGTGGAGACCTTTCAATGCAGTAAAGATGCAAGTCAGGATGCTATTGGTGTTAAAACTAAATCTAACCCGTATGGGAGGGAACAAATTGATATAAATCTGAACAAATTAGATACTCAAAATATTGCTGACAATTCAGGGACTGAAATTGATACAACTGATACCGAGCATGGCCTTCTTATTGTCACAGAAGATGAAGAGCTTGACAAGGAGGTGGGAGTATCCAACAAGGCAGAGGATGTTGCTATGGAAACAGATGATGAATTAGTGATGAAGCCGAAAAAAAGAAACAATCCTTTCATCTCGCAGCTGGGTGTCACTGATTCTAGCGTTAAAGCAAAACAAGGTAATTTAATGAGAGACAGTCAGAAACAGGAGAAACGAAAAAATTTTTTATATGATGGTGACATATCGTCAGATGCAGACAGATTGTTATACATTGATGATTATGTTGTCGTTGAGAAAAATATGAACTCAATAAAATGTGACCATGAAGAGTTGAATCAGAGCAATTTTGAATGTCTGCCAAAAGGCAAGATTTCCACCCCAATTAGACGCTCTGCGAGGTTACACAATCTGACTCAGTCATCATCTGACGAAAGTCTGAATGATACTGATCTTACACCAGCACAAAAAAGAAATCATGGTAAGAAAAAGAACAATGAGGAAGAGAGAACTGATGAAAAATTTCTATGCAAAAATATGAAAACTAGCAGATTGAAGGAAACTACATTGAGTGATGAGACTCTTCCCATAAGAAGAAGTAAACGACTGAAGAAGAGTTCCGATGAAGATCTTTCCTCAAATGATGAGATAGGCAAGACTATAAATGATGGAGAGATACAGTGTTGCTCGGAAAAAGAGATGAGTAGTGTCAAGCAAAATAGAATGGAAGAAGAACCCATAGCTGCGGGCGAAAAGATTAATGTGCAGGAAAATCAAACAGAACAGCTGATTTTGGGGAAGAAAAATTATGAACCAAGGTTTTTATGTGATGAGTTAGTTGGACAGAGAAATGTAAAAAAAGGATCAGTTATTATCCCACAGGGTAAGGTATCAAAGAATACCAAACAATGTCAGGTTACAGGGAAAATAAAGACGCCAACATCACAATGTGATACGCTTCTGGATGGTATATTCAAATTAAAAGAGAAATTAGCTGAAACAAAGGACAAAGTTGCACCATCGATGGAGCAACCTGGTCAGCACACGATTGAACACTCAGAGTTGGCAGGTGGGAGTCAAATAACAGAGGATAAAACAGAGTATTTGCATCCCAGCAATGGCAATGTTATGTACAGTCTCTGGAACTTTGGTAAAGTATCATTGTTGATCAGAAACCAAGTGTGTGGCTACATCAAGGAAGGAGGGCAGGTAAGATATTATACTAATAAACAATTTAATAATGAATATATTATTCAATTATATATTTAGTGAATACACTGCTTTTTTGTGTGATATTTATTTCTCTCTCAGTTTTCACTATGGAATTAAGCACTTTGAATTAGCTCCAGCAATATTGTGAAAGTGTAGAAGCACAACTTTGAAAAAGAAAAAGAAAATATCTTAATTGCATAGAGTATGTTTGTTAAAAATGAATGTCTATAGTGTAAACCAATTCTCAGCAATGAAAATTAATTATCATTTTCAGAATCATATTGTTTTTATCAGCAATTTTTACCTTTACCTAGTACAACCTATTGCACACTGACATTAAAGCTTAAAAAGTTACAACATTGTTATACAAACCCTGATTATCTTGTCCATAAATACTGGCAAGGTATAGGAGTTACTGGGTGTCCTTGTTGTTATCGTCGTCAACCCTTTCTTGTTTATATTTAGTTCTTTTAATGGTATATATAATTTGGCTCATTTCAGCTGAAGGCACTTACAATCTCACCAAAGCTAGAGTACCAGCCTAAGTTCGGTTTGGAGCAAATATCTGCAGGTCAGCTTTCTACAGAATGGATTCGCATGTACGCACAACCCAACTCTATGGTGGTGAGAGGTAAAATGCAATATTATATTGTTCCATAAATTTAGTAGATTAGAGTCTGTGTAACTCACCCATGCATTCTATATACCATACTCGACTGCGTTAGCGCCCATGCCCCGGTCAAGTGCCCACCCCCCACTTTTGTGATTTTTTTTTTATAAATGGTCATTTGCACTCTTTTCCGAGGGGGTGCTTGGGTAAGTGCCCACCCCTAAGAAATACTGATTTTCTGAGTTGATGACCCTGGGCGCTAATGTGGTCGAGTACGATATCTGTAATATTACCAGTATATTGAGCAAGGTTTTTAAGATTTTTAAGATAATAGCTTTTGCTGTTTCTGTCTGCTGTACGTAGGTCATGTAATTACAAAAACACGATCTGAGTTACGACCTAAAATCTGTTTTTATATGATTATAGGAGCACTGTGAGATAATAATAGATATTTATAAGATGGGAGTGTGCAAGTGTTATGTGTGAGATGCAATTAAGATCTCAAACAAATTGAATTACAAGATGATCACAAAATTATACAACATACATTTCTAGAAATAATAAAATGCAAATAAATTGTGAAAAAAATGGTTAGTGTTCAACTCAGGTCGTTTTGCTAGTATCCTTGCTCATTTGCAAAGCATGTATTAAGTGCATTTTGCATTTTCGAATATGGTGCTAATCTTATTCACATCTGTTTATGCTATTAAAATGTTTATTGTGTCATATGATGACAGATTTCTGTATCTCCGTACATTAAAATATATATTGCATACCCTCATCATAAAAATCATTGTTAAAGTGTATATTACTTTATTTCACAGGTCGTATCAATGCATACACTTCGGAAGTTATCACCCTAGAGAAATTGGATTTATCAAATTTATTGCCACCACATTGCAATTTCAAGTTAGTATTTTTTTTAGCTTTTGGCCTTTGACCCCTACATCAGTGTAGTTTATACTTATGAATACTGCACTGAGACTAATGTTTACAATTACTAATTTTTATTTCAGACCTGCTGTGTCACTCAAGATGTTACATACTGTTCTGGAAAAACTGAAAATGTAAGTTTTATGCATAATTATATGAATCAATGTGGAAAGCGATGTGTGATGTCAGTCATTCAGTTCACACAGTTGTAGC